ATTTCGTGATCTCATAACGTTGATCCATCTGTTCGCTCGACTGGCGTCGAAAGCTGGCAGCTTGTCGGGCGTCTTTTTCTGGCAGCTGGACGCCATGGCATCGCTGTTGGTGTCGCTGCCATGGCATCCTAGTGCGATACCGCCCAAAGACTCCGGACCGGAAGACACACTTGCACGATTTTGACGTAAGCTACGAAAACAGCGTCTCTTTAACTCATTCGGCTGCATTGTCGGAGGGTCAACCGAACAAAAAGGTAATTTCACTTTATACATTCTTTATAACTGGTAGCAAAGGAGCCATTCACAACTTCAACTCCAAAATTTATAAACAATCACCCTAACATCAACACTGTAACCATTATTAGTTATTATTTAATGTTCTGTCTGACGACAGGTCCATATGAACAGGATCCTTCCATCCTTTTCTCGGACTGGGACCTGTTCATACACGTTCTTGGTAGATGATCCAGAAGTGGTTTGCCATTGCCTTCTTCTGTGTGTGAATGGGATGCCACGGAGAAACCGGGGAAGAAGCCCCCGGAGGAAAACTCCGTGTTGCCTAGACCACGGCCTTGCCCAACACAAGTTATAAATTCGGGCACCGCCGGGAATCGAACCCGAGACCCCAGGATTACAAGGCCAGCGTGGCATCATAAAAGTTGTAGGACATTACGCAAATAATATTCGCGGATTCTTCTTCGAAGATTTTATAAAATATTTCCCCACAACAGAGCTGTAGTGACTATCGATGCTACATGCGAAGTTCAGAGGCCTATTACATTACCCAAATGGTATTAAGCGTGCAACATTGTGATGTGTTATTAATTTGCGAGATTTTAGGTCTCCACTACGGCAGCTGTCTCCTGTGCTGTCGCGCCGTCTAGTATAGTTCACTGACATTTCAGAGATGGCCTCCAATGACTACTGCCAGACTTCACGGTGCAACAACCCACAAGACAGACATCTTCCTACTATAAATGTTTTATACTGATTTCTCCGAAGAAAAAAAAATGTCCGTGACACAGTCAAGGTGAAAGGAATTTCATTGACGGAGAAATGTACCGTTAGGCAGACCATACTACTCACCGCCTGATCATACTGCTATGAACTTCTAACAGGCCGTGGTCAAGGCGAAAAGAAGCTCCAATGATGTCATTCGTACGCATGCGTCGGAATATTCCCCCATGGCTTGGTAGGGCTGGAGGGAGGGGGGGGGGGGGTTACAGCTGTGTGGAAAATAGTCGGTCGATATTCGCATGTCGGCATTTACTCAGTAGCTATGTAGTGTAGCTTACTTAAAATAACGTAGCTGGAAGTCGATTTTATAATGTATACTCCACTGGAAAAGATAGGTTTGATTTGTTTGTCGGTCATTGCCTTCCAGATAGCCCGAACAATTATACGACTTCTTTACAATAATCTGATCGGACCAGCTATGAAGAGAAATGTGAATTTAAAAGAAATGGGACGCTGGGCAGGTAAGTGTCTTGTAATTTAACACGTTAAAGGTAATTTAAGGTTAATTTTATATACGTAACTTGCCTAATGAAATGCTAGTCAGGAGAAACATGCTTATAGCGTATTTTAATTTAAAAATTATAGAATTTGGATAGAACACCTGAAGAGGAGTCCAATCTTAAGATGTAGGCATACATGGAAGGATATTATTAAAACGGACCTTAAGACAACAGGGTGTGATGGTGTGGATGGACTACATTTATTTAGCTGAGTACATGGTCCAGCAGGGGGTGGCTTTTGTTAACATGGTAATGAACCTTTTGGTTCCACGAAAGACAGGGAATTTCTAGATAGTCAAAGCCTGGAATCTTAAATGTGGGCGAGTCCGTGAATAAAATGTGGCCAGAATCAAGACGTTCTTCGTAGAAGAAGTCTGATATCTGTCTTCCGGGATGTAGCACTATGTAGTCTGGCAGATACTAACCAACATTTCAGAGGATTGTACTGCCTCCACACTGACGACGGAGACAGTAAACAGCTCAGAAATGCCAGTCAATACTTATCAGACTACATGGAGCACGCCACGAACCTCAAATCTCACGAAGGTAATGTACGAGTTAAAAGAATTATTACAGTGTGAATGAACTATATGTTATCCTTCGTATTATTAACAAAAGAAGCCACGGTGGTCTAGCGGTTAGAACGCTGGCCTTGTAATCCTGGGGGTCTCGGGTGCGATTCCCGGCGGTGCCCGAATTTATAACTTGTGTTGGGCAAGGCCGTGGTCTAGGCAACACGGAGTTTTCCTCCGGGGGCTTCCCCGGTTTCTCCGGGGCATCCCAACAATTACTCCACTCACACACAGAAGAAGGCAATGGCAAACCACTTCTGGAGCATCTGCCAAGAACGTATATGAACAGGTCCCAGTCCGAGAAAAGGATGGAAGGATCCTGGTCATATGGACCTGTCCTCAGACAGAACACTAAATAAATAAAAAAAGATGGTCCAGTAGCGTGCTGTTGTGATAAATTTCTTGATTCCCTGAAGGCAGTTCTGGAGCACTTAGCGACTTTACGTTTTGAATAAGAACTCTGGTCAATGGAGTTAGCAGCACCATGTGACAAATGTGTTATCGTTAAGGTAATTGTAAATAAAACATGTTTAAAGCATCCTCATCATAACATGGCACTTTGTATAAATCAGAAAGACCTCCAGACATGGATAAAGGCTACAGATGTGTGTAATAAATGGTTTCAAAACAACCTCTGGCTTGGGTGTAGGGCACGCAGTTAAGAATAATTCACCATAAAGAAATCTGTTTTAAAATGCGCGTGCAATGACTTCAAAATTCTTTGGCACACCCAGTCACCATATTCTGTGGACACTATATTGCAGTAATCAATATAAAATCTTTAATGCAGTAATAGTCTTCGTGATTTTATTGCATTTTACAAATCTGCATAAGCATGTATTAGCGTTGCATATCTGCCACATACACGTAATAAATAAATAGATTTTGAGGATCTCACAGTGGCGAGTGCGAAGTTGGCTGTCTACTGGGTTGTAATGCCATGAAGTCCTGCTGCCTCCATCATCAGGGCGATGAGTGGTTACTCATTACCCTGATGATGGAGGCAGCAAGGACCTCTGAAACATTCGTAAATTTCTATCAGACTACATGAGGCTACAACCCACAAGACAGAGATCTACATAATAAATAACGTTGCTTTGGATATAATTTATTAGTGAAAGACCTTACTATAACTTTTTGACAATTAACAATTATTGTTCAAATTTTGCAAAAATGGAATACTGTTTCATTTGAAAGCCTTAATTTATTTTAGAGCATATTTGCATCAAAAATGTTTCAAACAAAAGTTGTAGCCTTAAAAACTAAACTATCTTTATCTGAGACCGAGCCCCTAACCAAGCTCGTGGTGCTCAAGATAAAATCTTTATTATCACGATCCCCCCCCCCTAATTTTACTACAATTCTCTATCACTCTTTGGCTGAGATTGCAATGGAATCTTCCACTGAAGTAGCTATTACTAATCTTAGGATTGTAATTACAAACATAAATTTCACCCCCATTAATAAATAACGTTGGAAACGTATTCCTCAAGCATGCAGCAAGGTATGGATCATCTTTGACAGAAACTCTACCCCTTATAAAGCGAAGAAAATATCTGAACATTCTAACGCGATTAAGTGTCTCTTCTCCAGTTGCAAATCCAAGCAATGTACATTTTCCCACGCTAATCCTACCAGACTTGGCTAATAAATCCTTTGAAAGGGTTACAAAGTTCAAATATTTGGGAACAACAATAACAAATCAAAACGATACTTGTGAGGAAGTTAGGAGGAGACTAAATTCCGGAAATGCTTGCTACTTCTCAGTCCAAAATATTTTGTCTTCCCGTCTGATTTCTAAGAACCTGAAAATTAAAGTATACAAAACAATAATCTTGCCTGTTGTTTCGTATGGGTGCGAAACATGGTCTCTCACTCAGAGGGAGGAACACAGATTGCAGGTGTTTAAGGAGGATATTTGGGGCTAAGAGAGGAGATGATGGGGCGTGGAGAAAACTGCACAATGAGGAGCTTAAAAATCTGTACTCCTCCCCCAATATTGTCAGGGTGATTAAGTCGAGAAGAATGAGATGGGCGGGACATG